TAGGTACGAAAACAAACTAGTAAGTAATTAATTACACTGAAAAAAAAGTAAAAAGACATCAACATACTATAATACAGCACATTCTATATTATATCACTATATATATATATATATATATAATGTTTAAGAAAACTGTAATTTTCAAGATGCAATTAAATAGTCTAACATTACAATTGCCAAAAAAAAAAAGATGCTAGTTACACTGTATAAAATTGTTTAAATTTATTTATTGAAACTGTGAAAGGTATAAAGCAAAATAATAGATACTGCAGTTAAGTTTCAGAAAAGTGACATTATGTTATAAGTATTATAACATGAAGAAGAACTGATGTCAGCAAATAAATTCTTTTTTGAAACACACACACCATCTGTGCATTTAAATGGATACTGTTTGTCTGACAGTACTTCAGAGATGGAGTTTGTGTTATAAATGAGTTAAATCAGGCCCTGAAAAATATTTTCAGTTGTAGGAGCTGGGTGCTATATAGAAAATTTATGGAATATATTTTGAGTCAGTTGTGTGGTTATGCTATGAAACATACAGTTTTACACTAAAAATCAAAGTGTTCATTATTAAACTTTATAGGATATATTAAAATTAAACTTCAATATGTGCAATTATTAAAATTGTAGACTAAATAACTATAACTTAGGTGGATTCTTGCAATGAATGAAAGTAAAATAAAAGTAATCACTGTAATATCGATAGGCCAGGCAGGTTGTTTCAGAATAAGTCTAATCTTCTTATCACTGCAACACTGTCCAACTATAAGCAAATGTCTTTTGGTGTGCCTACTCTAACTTCACTGCTGCTTGTACCAGGAAATGGAGGCTATATTTATTTACTTTCACACCAAGAAGTGCACGCTAACAATCACATGATATCAACTTGATAGTATTGCCTGAACTAACTGCTTTGGTCCCATCTGAGTCTAAACACACGCACTGGTTGGTTGAGAGAAAAAAAGAAAAACAAAATGGCACAAAATTAGTAACGTGTTGTGCAACCACAGTGCTTCATTCCTAAAAAAACATGAAGAAGTGCTGAATCCACCATTAAAATCCTAGAAACAAAGTTCGATTTAGAACTCAAAGAATGCAAAAATAGTACCGGACTTCCAAGAGTCCAGAACTGTTCTAGATTCAAGTTCTATTTAGCAAGAATAGAATGGGAGAAAATACTAGGTGCCACAATGAAATTTTTAGTTCCCATGGCAACCCGGCACCTGGGATTTGTCGTAGTCTGAGTTAAATGAACAGGTTTTGGTACAAAGTGTGATATTCATTGTATTTGTTGCATAATCTGTGAAAAAGAACATTGCTTTTAAATATATATATATATGTGAGTGTGTGTGTGTTTCTACTGCATTAACAAATGCTTGTCATGCTTAGTATCTCATAGCTTAAATTATAATTTAGGAGTTCATGTTTGATATAAAACTCCCTTGCTGTAAGTATGTTAACTATAGAAAATTCATGTATATTTAATCTTCCAGGATCAATATGATAACCTAGGAGCACATACTCAACGTGGTATAGATTTCTTGGATAAGTATGGTCAGTTTATTAAAGATCGATGTTCCATTGAAGGTGAATATGCCAGCAAACTCAGGTGAGTATATCTTATTTTAATGTATATATATAACCACCCCTCATTCCCCCCAGAAAATTTAATTTCTGTTCAAGTTGTAGTGTCTTTAGTAGAAATCATAATTATGTAGAATTGTAGTTTCAGATGCTATAAGAAATTTATTTAATTATCCTCTGATGAATGCCTATTCTATAATTACGTAAAGCAGATAGAATCTAAAAATGTGAATGTCTCTGTTCATATCTGGCCTCCTCTTCTGTTCAAAATCTATTTTTGTTTTCCAAATACACTGTAAAAAATAAAGTGAAAACATTTTTGCTTAATTTTGGACACTGTAATTTATGCATAGGTCAACTATCTTCAGCAATGTTTAAAAACAAAATTACATATCCTTTAAAACTAAATTGCATTAAAAAATAAAATTTTCCAATAACTTCTGTTGTAAGTACTTATAGTAAGGTTTTGGGGATGTGATATCAGTTGTTGTCATGGTTAGTAGCCTAAGTCTAATTATTAATTAGTAACTGTATGTTTTTGTATAAGTAGATATTAAGTTATTGACTAGTTTTTTGTTTTTTATCCTACATTTTGGCAACTAGTCTGTTGCCATTTTCAAGGAAGTCCTGAAAAGGACTTATTTTCTATGTTGGTAATGGTCAGGATTCAACCCTGGGTCTTTTTGATGGAAGTCTGGTGCTTTATCCACTGAACTTTAGTTATTAGAACTTAAATAATCAATTTGAATGAATGGTTTCCAGGATTTACTCATTTCTATGCTTAGTTGAATAACCATGCTAAGAAATATTAAAGTAGCTTTCTACACCTATCTAATGTAAATGTAAAAAGCTTCTTTTATATTTCATTTCCTTGTGTTATTCATATCATTTTATTGCAGCATTATTCCAATTTATTGTATGGTTTTTCTTCTCTGGCATGATGGGCTATTGAAGATAGATCAGCATTACAAGTCTAGTACTTCTGTTATGCTACCAAGTTTTAACTTTTATTAGTGTTTGAAATCAACATCATATGGGATGCTGTAAATGGTATTTTTCCTCTCCACTGTGTCTTTAGGTGATTTGGTGTGTACTAATTGTAATCATATTGTGTTATAGCTTCTGAGTACTGCCCCGACTTTATTTTGTTTACATATCTACTGTATGTTTTCAGAGAGATCTCCAAGATAGGAGGAATATGGTTGTATCTGCAACTTTCTTCCTGTTTAATCTCCATGTTTATCAAGTGTTCTGGGTAGTCATTGTTAATGAGGGTGTGGGGATATATTTTCTTTGATTTTTTGTTGTTTTTTTTGGTATCATAAATCTTGTTCATTCTTGAAACTACACAGTTTATAATGCCCATCTTTAAACTGTTGAAGTAGTTTAATTTATAGTAAAAACATTTACCCATATCTGTGGGTTTCCTGTAAGCTTTTTTAGTATATGAGTTGTGTGTCTTGGTAGTCATCACTTCAAGAACTGGGAAGTTATCTTTTTCCATTTCAATTAAGAACTGTATTGTGGGATGTTGTCTGTTCAGGTGGCTCATAAATTCTTATCTGTAATATGTGGCCATATTACAATTATTTCATCAACATACCTGAGCCATATCTTGGGATGTAGAGTGGCTGTTTTGAGGGCATTAATATATGTTGTATACAAAAAATTAAAAGTACAAGCTAAATTTATGTCAACCAAGTGTACATCAGGTCTTTTCATACTCAAATTAGTATATTCAGAAAATGCTCACTAGTAATGGTACTGTAAATGGATATTGAATTTAAAAACCCTAATATAGAGTTAACATATTTGTGTCAGAATTTGTGACAAGAAAAGCAATAGAAAGATATTTTTTCTTATTCACCAGGAGACTTGTTAAGAATTATCAGCCTAAAAAGAAAGAGGAGGAAGATTATCAGTGAGTATTTTTGTCATGTGAGAGAAAAAGAGTTTAATTTTAATTCATGTCAACAATGCTGTCTGGGGTCACAATAAAAAAGTAAACAGAAATACTGTCAATATATTGTTGCGTCAGCGAGTCACGTGACCACTGTGGCGCCCTCTAGT